TTCAGAATTACGAAACTCATTCTACTAAACCTAAGGTTGCTATTATTAGAAAGAAATGTTTTTGATGTGAGTTTTAAATATCCTATTGGCACTTCAGATCTGCTGGCCATATGTTGTGCCTGAGTTTCTATAGGAACAACATTTAACCTTTGGGTTAAATAGGTCTTCAATGGCTCAGTGAGCATAGTATCACACCAGCACAATGCCAATTGGCTCTTTCCCTTTAGTGGCATTCTGAGCTTTGTAAACCTTTCAGAGTTCAACTTAATGGGAACTTTTGTCACCATAGGATGGATAAGGGTATTTTGTAACAGATTTAGAGCGGGCTTAAAGACATGAATCAAAATGAGTAGAAAGTTTTCATGAGAAGCCACTTTGAAGATATCAATATGTAATACAACCACCATTGTTAATTCCCAACCACGTTGTTTGTAACTCTGTATTGTCTGTATTGTGCTTGTGATATGTTGTAAAATGTTGTATGTCTGTTAATGTTTCCCTCCTTTTATCTTTAAAATAAAAAAAAAAATGAGTAGAAAGGCACATTTGATTGGAAGGAAATACGTAAACATATTTGGGTTCCTCAGGAATCAGTCTGGGTCAGTTTTAATTAAATCTTATACATGGCCCATGAAAAGGCTTTCACAGTGGAATCTCCCACATCTGCAGCTAATGTTGAGCTATTACAGATTAGGAGAAACTAAACTGGTGAGTACCAGCTACTGAGGAAATTGAGGAACTATGTTGATGGAAAAAAAAGTTGTATGCGAGTGAAGTTTGGATGTGTGCAGTGCATTGCATTGCACAGAGAACAGAGAAGTTTTAAAGACTTAAAAAGATGATTCTGGGAAATGACAAAGGCAAAAGTCCTTTGAGTGACAGCAAATCTCCAATCAGAGAGATCAACAAGTGTGTACATCAATAGGAGGGAAAACAATAACAATCATTACTATAAGCACGACTGTAGCATTTACGAAAGTGCAGGCTTTCAGCCATGCATTGGTTCATGTGTCTATGCAATACTTACTGTATAAGATGATTTAGGCACTGGGCAACAGCTCCACTGTGCGACATGTTAGGTACTGGACAAGCCCAGAAGGATGGCCTAATGAATAGGCAGTGAGAAAGACAGGAGGGACAAGTGAGGGTACTTGAAGTTATCAGGATCCTGGTAGTCAGCCTAGTGTGAAAAGTAGCCAGGGACCTCAGATATTGGTATAACAACTTGAAACAAAGAAGCTCTTAGATGGTGTCCTAGGAAGGATTACTCTTACATTTCTCCTTATTCTGAACAACAGTAGTTGTCTCTTATAAGTACATACTATTTGCTTTTAGCTGTTAATTAATTGCTTTGCATAGTTTATTCTGAGAATATTGTTTTATCTGAGTCCTATGTTACAGAAAGTAGTATCCATTGAGAATTCACTTTACTCTTCTGTGTTCTGGGAAAAATATGGACCCACCTCTGTCTTTTTTTATGACTTTCAAAAGATCTGAGGATGACCCATTGGTTTAACTGACCACATAAAAGGCTACACCCCTTCCCTTTCTTTTATAAAATGAATAATCTCCCATTGCAATAGCCTAAATAAAATCATCTCCTTAGTTTTCATGAGGAATCACTATACTGATTTCCACAGTGGTTATACTAGTTTATATTCCCACTAAGACTATAGAAGTGTTCCTTCTCCCACCCCACCCCAGCCTTGTCAGCATTTGTTACTTGGTATTTTCCTGAGAATTAAAGACATCATATTACAGTGATATATGCATATTCGTGTTTATAGCAGCACAAGTCATAATAGCTAAATCTTCAAAGTGATCTATATGTGTCCACCAATGATGAATGGATAAAGAAAACATGGTATTTACAGACAAGGGAGTACTACTCTGCTATAAAATGTGAACTTGAGTCATTTGTAGAAAAATGAACACACTTTGAAACCATAACATGAAGTGAAATAGAAGAACATACAATCTTAAATATCATATGGCTTCTATTGTATGAGAATCCCCAAGTACAAATAAAGAGCAAAACAAAAGATAAATAAAAGGAATCAAGGAACCAGATCTTTTGAAAATAGAAAGGGGCCCAAGAAATGGAGGATGAAGGGAAGCAGTGAGGGGCAGAGAAATCTAGGAAGAATTAAGATGTGTCCTGTACGTGGACCAACTACTCACAATGAAAGTAATCATTATGCATCACAAACATGTACTAATAAAAATCATCTCCTTAGTTTCTTGCTGCATTATTTCTGTCATAATTTCAAGGAATCAACCATAATCAAATATCATTTAACCACATATGCACTATGATTTTCCTCATCAGGCTCTGCACTGGGCTCCAGATGTATGTACCAAGAAGGCAGACATAGTCTTTTCATGAAACCCCAGTTCAAAGTGCAGTGGGAGCATCAGATGATTCAACAAGGAATTGCAATAAAGTGGATTGAGTGTTGACAGAGGTGATTATAAAACAGAAAAGTATTTAACCCAGTACTGAAAAGACAGTGTTTGCATTCTCATGAAAAACTTCTTTAACTTACATCTAATCCATACAAATTTCTTTTCTTGAGGCGAAGCAATATGACTGGTTATGTAGATGCCTGAAAGAAGTGGAGGGAGATCTGGCAATGCTTTTGCTAAGGTCACTTCCAAAATGCTGGGACAGTGGCCAAATTGATCCCCTTTGTTTCTTCATACTAGAGAGGACTCTACTACCGAACAGCTCATCCACCAAGCCTTAGTCTGCTGTGGTTCTCAGACACAAGATCAAAGGCAGGAAAGAGGAAGAAAATGTCCTTTTATGAAAGATAAGTCTGAATTGATCTGGGTTTTGATGGTTGACAAAGGATACCAGAAACTAGCTAATAGTCCGTTTAGAAGATAAAAATGTGAGCCAAGGACTTCGGGCAATGGAGCATTAAATTCTCCCTGTGATCCTATTTTATTTAATGTATTACCACACCACTGTGTTATTAGGAAAAGAGGGTCAGGTCTTCCAAATTTTTGTATTTGAAGACCCCTGAGGACTGAATTTGATTCAGGAATTTTCCTAACTCCTATAGTGTGGGAAAACTTAACGATTTGATAATATTGCCTATGATTCTGGTGTTCAAATGTTTTCTAAATTTTGAAGTTACCTCAAGACAGTGAAATGAGCCATAGGTTCTGGTTTCTATGAAAATTTAAAAATAATGAATGTATTAAAATAATAAAAATAAAATGATGCATCTTGTTGTTTTATAATAATGTCATTAGTGTAAAATTTTTCATTTGCAAAAATTCAAAGAAAATGACAAAACAAAATGATATTTATTTATATCAGTTCCCCAAAAGGTACTTATTATAACACAAGAATAAACTACAGCTTAAAGTCAAACACCCTAGTCTCTTTGGTGTAAACTTCACGCAGAACTACTCTGGAATACTGTTTCCAATTCTTCATTTTGCCATGTCAGTCTTGTGACCATCACCTTGAAATTGACTACTGTAAAAGAGATGTCACCTCAAACCTGTGGTAGGAGGGAATTTTTTTACATGATATAATTTCTAGCCTCCTTCTGAGAAGAAATGAACTTTCCTGACAATATGCTTGAGTAGATTTCTGATAAAAATTAATGGACAGACTTATTCTGAGAAACTAGTTACCTATTTACCCTGCTGATGAACATTCAACAGTCCAGTCATTGTTTTCTCTTTCTTTTTTTTTTTTTGGTTTTTCTCCGGTACCGGGAACCGAACTCACGACCTTGCGCTTGCCAGGCAGGTGCTTTTGCCGCTGAGCTAAAT